CGCTATGAGTCGGGGCCGACTCGATGGCAAACAACAACAACAACAACAACATCCACTGCCGATTGGTTTCGTCCCTGAGAGGAAACATAGCTTTCAGTGAGCAGAAAGGACAGCAGGAATTACTTGTTCAGAATGACTCCCCCTCTTGATCACCTGCAACCGGAACAAGGGGTGAGTCCACAAGGCCTGTGTCAAGATGCTCAGTAGTGCCCAAAGTCAAACTGTGCCCTCACCTTAGTTTTTCCAGTGAGGGCACCTGCTTCGCAGATTACGATTTCTTCCAAATTGATGCAGCAATTCTGTGACTAGCATGTCACTGCTCTGCACAAGGAAATTAGAAGCAATGTAGTCTAATGGAAAGAATGTGAGTTTGAGAGTCACACAGCCCTGAAGTCTAGTCCCCCTCACTTGAAGTTTTTTTTTACCTTTTCTGGATCTTGGTACCCTTGTAAAATGCAGAGGGTTGGGGAGAAGCATGGTACCTCAGAGACACTCTGGGAAGATGAAATAAGATGAACTGTACAAGAGATGCACTATGATGCCTGGCTTGAGGTAGTTACTCAACATCGGTTCTCTTTCTTCCCATAGAAAATAGGTTCTCTCTAGTCCTTTTTAGAAATGCAAATACTTCCAGGAGGAGTTATTACTAATACCATGGCAGGGAAGAGTGAATGAGTTTTTTCAGGGAGATGTCCCTAAGAGAAAGGGAAAAAATAATTCTAGAAACCTGGTTAAAATAGATGTTTCATTTGATGTTGCAGACAGGAAAGAAGAAGAATGGAAGGGTAGTAAGGAAAATGTAGAGTGTATTAGTTTCATATCATTGCTGTAAGAAATTACCACAAACTTAGTGGGTTAAAACAACACAAGATCATTTTCCTATAGTTTTGGAGGTCAGAATCCAGAATGGATTTCACTGGGCTGAAACAGATGTTCCCAGGGCTGGCTTCCTTCCTCAGGAGGAGACTCCATTCCTTGACTTTCTCAGCTTCTAGAAGCTGCCCGCATTCCTTGTCCTGTGGCCCCCTTCCAGCTGCGGTCCCACTCCAACCTCTGCTTCCATTGTTGCATCTCCTTCTCTGAGTCTAACCCTCCTGAGTCTCCCTTATGAGAACCCTGGTGATTACGCTGGATCCACTGGGTAAACCAGGCTCATCTCCCCATCGCTAGATGCTTAATCACACCCGCAAAGCCCTCTTCTCCTACGTAAAGGAACATCCACAGGTTCCGAGGAAAGTATGTGGCCATCTCTTGGGGACCATTTTTCTATTTGCCACATTGACTTTGCTCTTTGGTTAATGATCTTGTGGGTGGGCCTTACCTCCTGGATATTATCTGTTCTCTAGTGAGTTCCCTAGGATAAGTTTCCTAGTGAGTTTGCGCCCGGATAAACAGAATTCTTTATGGGGAGTTTCACTGTGAATTCACTCCAGGCCCGTACAGTGCATCCCAGATTATCTGTGAACTGATATCTGTTGAGTTGGTCAAGAGAGACTGTGCAGAGCCGTGGTAGGTGCAATGCACTTAAAGGGATGGAAGACACTTTGCAAATATGCATCTCAATTATGGAAGAAGTGTGAGAGGGAGCAGAAATCAAGGCTCTGAACTGGTTCATTCCAGTGTGCCCTCCTGCTGAGAGCTTGCATTTCCACCCCAAAACCAAAAACCTCACTGCTGTTGAGTTGGATCCGACTCATAGCAACCCCTCCTTGGGTTTCCGAGGCAGTATCACTACGGAAGTAGATTGCCCCACCTTCCTTCCGAGGACTGGCTGGTGGGTTTGAACCGCCAGCCTTCCACTCCAGATAGACTGAGTTGGAATCTACATTTTAACAAGACTCTGATTCAGTATAGCTGGGAAAGGCAAGTTCTCAGCAGGAGGTCCCACTGGAATGAACCCGTTTGAAGTCCTGGCAGAAATACTTGTAAATGTCCAGGATCTGTGACAGTTTCAAATAAATTTCTACCCAGTTTTGACCCTCATATTCAATGTCCTGAATCTGCAAATTGTGCTGATCTCAGCACCCAAAAGTTAATCCATTAAAGCAGAGATGGTGGCTGAAAGCCTCATCTGGTTTCGTTTTGATCCGTATCGATTGCTGTCATCTTCCTTTCTGTGGCGTTGCCACAATGTGCTTTATCACAATGAGAACCGGCTCTTTAATAGTGTCAGCAGACTCATACTCTCAGGCTCTGACCTCGCAGCGCAGGCATTGATCATCTGTGGCACTCTGCACCCCCAGGTGCTGGGAGTGTGAATTGGCTGGAAATCTTTTCACGGCTTCAGGCAAGATTCTCAAAGGCCAGGTCTCTGGCTTTTTCTAGGGGCAATAATTCTGCCCAGACCAACTGTTCCAGGAAACGAGGGTAATTTATGATTTGAAACAGGAAACGTGACAGCATTTTCCTCTGGCATTTTCCCTCGTCAGAAGCCCTTCCAATCAGGGCGGGTTTGTCTTGTCAGTCTAGGTCCTTGCATCAGTTTCTGGAATGCCAGCCTGCGCTCACAGTGATTCTGAAACTGCCAGCTCTCCCCTCCTCTGACCTGTGATATTGTTGCTGGAAGTGGCTTCCCTCTCTTCTCTCTCCTCTAGATGATATCTGCTTCTTCTGATGGTTTAACAAGCATCTGCTTTCAAAACATTTCTTTCTGGTGCCTTTGATCTAGCTTCAGAAGGGCACCGCGGGGGCCAGAGGACTGCACCTGCCTGGCGCAGGCCACACCAACAAAGGGCCATGAGACCTGCAGCAGTGGTTTACAGCCAGCATCATCTCCTACAGGGCCTTTGTAAGGAAACTCAAGCCATCCGTCTGTTACCGAGTCTGGAGCCCCTTGCATTTAAAAAAATTTCTCCTTCAAGCCTCAGCAGCTAAAAGTAGCACAGCCACTTTTGTCCTCAGAGTGAGGAGAAGCGCCATTTATGGTATCCTGTACCGCCAAGCGGGATTTGAAGGAGATAATTATAAAATATCTCTATCGTTAGTTGGGTGTCCAAAAGTCTTTAAGCGAGAGCGTCCTTTTGAAATTCTAACAGGCACATATTGCATTCTGGTCCCCCTAGCTCGTTCTATTTCTCTTATGGCTCTCCTCTGTTTCAATCAATGGTGCTCCTTGCTGCAGGGGAGTGCATTACATTTCTGAATGGATTTTCAAATTGAAAGCAGATACAGACGTCTTTAGAGTCACCAAAGCTTTGTGTTTGAGAAACTTGTTGTTTTTAGTGTTGTGGCTTAGTTCTGCATTCCAAAAACGGCTGGGATGGGAAGACCTAGAGCCGCGGCTTGGAGGATTAGCCCACTGAGTTTCTAAAATCACGCAAGGAAAAACGTAGATGATGCCGTCCCAGTGGTTTCCTCCCCACACAAGGAGGTGTGAGTGCAGAGTAGCTGGTGGGTTTGAACCGCCAGCCTTTTGGTTAGCAGTGAAATGCCTTAGGCACTGTGCCCCACGAGCATAAAAACAAGTTATTTGGGTTAAAATAAAACTAAAACACCAAACACAGTGTCATCAAGTCAATTCTGACCCATAGTGACCCCCACTGGGTTTCCAAGGCTGTAAATGTTTATGGAAGTAGATTGCCTCATCTTCCTCCCATGGAACAGCTGGTGGGTTTGAATTGCTGACTTTCTAGTTAGCAGTCCAGTGTGCCACCAGAGCTCCTTAAGTTAGTAGCAGCACTCCTCATACGTGAGAAGCAGGGTAGTGTTCCCACCCTGGAAGGCCTCCACTGCTCTGTGGACAGACTGTCATCCTGCACTGAAGCTTGTGGCACCCTCTTCCCACTCCTCCCCCCACCTACAATCTCAACCTGTTAATCAACAATGATTAAAACAGGACTGTTCTTTTGCCTCCATGTAGCAAAACCATACAATGAAAGACAGAAGGAAATAACTACTTTGTTGTGTGATACTGAGAATACGTGAACATTTCCTCTTTACATGCTTCATTCAAATGAAGTTATCTAATAAAGAAAACCATCTATCTACAGTTACCATTTCCTTGAAAGGATATACTGAGTTGATGAGATGTTTGACTATAACTGTCGTAGATAACAGATAATAATAACAAAAGCTAATATATAGTGCTCAGTAGATGGGAGGCCCTGATCTAGGTGCTTTGCAACATTAATCCATCTCATCCTCATGACAGCTCTGTAAGTAGATACTACTATTATCTCCACATTTCACAGATGAGGAAATTGAGACACAGAGTGGTTAATTAACCTGATCAAGCCAGTAGAGCAGCTGAGATTAGAAACTAAACAGAATGGCTCCAGAGTCCATATTCTTAATCATGATTCTCTCTGCTTATTTTTTCTTGCATTAAAAAATACAGGCACCAGGCCTTGATAAAATCACTGTAGCTATATATACTTGGTAGCAATTCACAAAAAAAGGGCAAGGATTTAAAGCATGGCTTCAATGAAATGTATTGCATTGACCATATTGTTGGTGTTGTTACATGCCGTCGAGTCAGACCCGACTCACAGAGACGCCTCCGTGGGTTTCTGAGGCAGTATCACTACGGAAGTAGATTGCCCCATCTTCCTTCCGAGGAGTGGCACTGACCATAGGAGAACAGGAATTACTCAATTTTGTAACCAGTAATTTCCAAGAATATGATGGAATATCTATGACATGTCATAATTGAATGAAGCACTATTTTCATCACTTGGGCAATGAATGTGATTTTTTGCTAGTATGATACAAAAAACATCAGTGCAAATCAATCCACATACATCAAATATTATATATGTTTAT